TATGAAATTATATTAAATATATATCGTGATTTGGTGTGAATTTTGAATGTATTTTTGTTAACAATAATAAATATTAACCCGATAGATAAGACAATATTAGGTTTGTAATTGATTTTTAAATATCAATTAATTAAAATGACGGTCGATGTAATTAAATAAATTATCAATGTAATAGATGTTTACAACAAAATTAACCAAATGGTTAGTGTGATTCGTTTTTAAAAGGCTTGATATTAAATTTTATTTTTAAAAATTCATTACCCGTAAACGTTATAGGGTTAATTAGGTGAATATTATGTTTTAAAGTTAAAATTAGTTAAGTAAAAGCAAATTAGGTGAGTAGTATTAAGTTCTTACATTCTTGACAAAATTGCCCTTAATGATGTGATTAAAAACATTTGGTAAAAATCTCTGAAAATATATTACTGTCTTGAACTGAAGTTTAATATAGTGGGATATTGTAAGCGTATTCACTAATTTTATGGGCTGCTCATAATAATCCACTATAATATATTATGTTCACGACTATAGTGCACTAAAATATATTTTATAATTATAGTTGAGTAATTTTGTATTTATTTATTGTCCGATCTGCATAGTTTATTAGTTATAGTTCACTATATTGACTGCTTATAATATATATTGCAATAATAGTTAACTACAATAGTTATGTATTACTTATAGTTCACTATATGTTTACAACCATAGTGCACTATAAAATATATAGACTGCTAATAATATATATTGCAATAATAGTTAACTACAATAGTTATGTATCATATACAAAACTCTATCATCCTCCTCATCAAGCCATGACAAGTCGTCTCCTTCTAAACTTTTGGCACGCAGCGTATATGCCACTTTTACCTGAAACAAAAACACATTTGAGTAAACACAATAATAGTTAACTATTACACGACCGTAGTTAACTATAATAATCATCCTCAATTTCTTTAACATAGTTAACTTTTACTCATCCGTAGTTGACTACCTATAGTAGGTTGTTGTAATAGGACAAAGAAAATGTTACCGGTCGATCATTATCTAGCTTTTGAGTTGATTTCATAACGATGCTTAGAGGCTTCTCAAATTCTTCATTGTCGTAGTTATCTTCAGAATCAACAATTCAAACCAATATGGAGATTGGTTTGGGCT